ATTGAGTGAGCCTCTCCCTGCAAGGTTAGCCACTGTCTCGAATTGCCTCTCTAATCTAAACAGCTTTTTACTTGTTTACAGTTTGCCAGAAGTGTTCACACTGTACTTCTGGTAGTACTTCCTGTCATTCAACAAGACAAGAATGTTAGGAGCTAAGTGCACACATACATTACTGTACAGTATCTTTGCATGTATTCCTTCTTTTTTTAAAACAAAAACACACTGCTCATTTACTGAAAGTGTCAAGTCTAAATGATAAAATGAATAATTGAATGAAAATCCACATATCCATTCAACATCTCACTGAGTTCAGTTTAGTCTCAAACTAAAGGTTTGCAAGTTGAAAACCAAATTACATAAACTGCACAGAAATAGGCAGAGTTTTCTGATTTTTAGAGGTGTTCTGCAGTGGGCTTCCCTTATAGTCAGGACAAGAGTACAGCGGTAGGCTCTGCCCTCCCTGGGAGGCTAGACAACATATGGCACTGTCTCCCAGAGAACAACACACCACCCAAGCAGCCTGGCAGCCTCATGTGTTTATGTGTGTCTATGTATGTGTGACTGTGCAAGGGTGAATGAGGGAGCCTGTAGCATGTGCATGTTTGCAGAAGATGGAACGAGAAGGATGCCTACCAAAATTTGTTGCATAGCAGAAGAAATAAAGTGTAGATGTATGCCTTTTTTTTCCATAGCCATATAAGCTAAAAAGGCATTAAACATGACAAACATTTGCAAGGCATTAGAAACAACCATCTCCTGATGTGAACTCAGACAATCTAATTTTTATCAAAGCTGCATCATGATCATATTTCAGAAAGCGACGGGAGATGGAAGAACTAAATATTTCACTTTACATCTGTATGTAATATAGTGCAACAGTATGCAACCTTGGCACGCTTGCTGAATGGGATGCTACAAACTTTTCAATGTTCAGGGGCAGGGTATTGTTGAGAATGCAGGACAGAGTTAGTGAGCTGAACTAGACATGGGGGGGGCGGAAGTCCTGATCGTCTGTCTTGCAGAATAGTTTCCATTTTCATGTGTGTGAGTTAAAAGGGAAAGAAGAGAATCAATAAGGCATTAGTGGAAAGCCATCAAAATATTCCAGAGCGATCTAAAGCTTACTACAGCCAGTAGGTCAGGAAGTTGGGTATCATTTATTTAAGGTGAGTTACCTTAAGACTACAGTTAAATCAACTTTATTCCATCCATTTGACCACGCTGCCTGCCTCAGTTATTCAGAGAATGTGTAAATTACAAAAGCAAGTTACAGGCATTGTCATTATAACCTTTATTGTTATACAGTGTTCATCCTTGATGAATTTGGATGACATTTTATAAAAAATAAAGAGAGAGAGACTCCCTGCAGACAGACATATCTGCTCTCTAAGTAGCTTGAATCCGAGATCCTGTGCCAACCCAAACAATGCAGACCCATAGCATATAGCCACTTCAAATCCTCTGGTGGAGACATCTCTCTCTAAGGCCACAATGAGAGGCTCATGTAAGCAGCTCATCAGCAGCCTGTTTGCCCATATGTGCCTCACACCCCACAGTCCCCAGTGGGTCCTGGCTCCGTGCAGTGATACCATTTCATCTGCCAACATAGACCATTTGGAAAAAAACAATCCCTCTTCTGGTTGGCCTATTCTGCCCTTACTGGCTAGTGATCTGCACAGATAGTATAGCCAAGTCCACCAAGTCTAGTGCCTAAAAAGAGGCTGGCCAGTAGAACCAGAAAACTTACAGACATACTCTTTTGAATAAGAAAGGTTAAGCAAGGGATGAGTTGCAGAGTCATGATGATGACTGAAAATCAGTCGTGGCCAATTAACAGGAATAAATCTTTACAAATTCACCTCGTCCGATAATCAGATTTATAACACAGACAGTAGTGGTGTTTTGTTAAATCACTAAGGTGTGAATCCTTGGGGCCAGTATTGATGATGGCATATGCTGTGGGAAGCAGACAGACAGGAAGGCAGGGTCCAGTGTCATATCTGCAGTGTGTGTCTGCAGGTCCCGCGCGGCGACGGTTCGCTTATCCCCCTGCCACCGCACATATGTTTGGGAAACGGAACAGTTGGACGTGGCCGAGGGCTAAAATGGGTCAGACCGACACAGATGGAGAAAAAACTCCCACTGGGTCACTGTCAGATGACTAACACCCACAGAAAAAAGTGAGAGAATATGTGTGTTTGTGTGTGTGTGTTTTTATGTATATGTGTGTAAGGGAGAGATGTAGTCAAATTTTGACAGATTTCAACAGCTTGCCAGCAACATTTCTCTTGAAACAAGGATAGAAAAAAATACAACAAGTTTTAAATTCAAATTGGGTCATGCAGTGCTCGAGTAGCCAAGAGCAAACCATGAACTCTGAAGAAAGCCAGGGGATGTCAAGAATTCCCAACATAAAATTCATCTTTCTGCATTTTTAACTTCTCCTCCTTGACTTTACTTCATGTATAAACCAAACCAAAACTATATGATTGATGACTTGAGTCCCTGGTCATGTTTTCACGCAATACTGTAATTTTGATCACAATAAACACACAGTCAATTTATTTTTTTGCTATTAAACTTGAATAACATAAAAGCTGACATTTGGGATAAATTGAAACCTTTAGGTTTTTGCCCTGGGAACGTCAGGGCTTCTCTACAAGAAAAATCAATTAAGAGTGCAGGAGAACCCAAACACATCTCTGGGCAGATGGAGAGGAGTTAGCATTAAATGCACCTCAGTGCTTAAATGGAATAATCCAGACCAGTAGATGGTATATTCCACGACAAAAGATAGTGGCACTGAAATAATCAAGCATTAAACAATGCAATATTACATTCTACTGTCTATCATGTTAGACTTTCTAAAACAAGATGTAACCAATTAAATCTCTGTGAATACGTCTCACAAAGATGCCGTTGGAAATGTTCCCTCAAGAGGGCAGGTAATCTTCAGGCAAAGATGTCCTACTCTTTTTCAACAGTCAATGGTGTCACAGCTAAAATGTATTCAGAGCGCTTCAGGCAAATGTCCTTGGTTGTCAAAACCTCCATTAGAAATGGAATGTGAGGCAATAATTGCTCCCATCCATTTGTTCATTATAAAAATGGGAGGGAATTTCCTTTCAGAGTAATCCAGGGCTGCCTTTTGATTTGATCCTTCAACACCATTTCCTAACACAAAAAGATAGGCCAGTGCTGTCTGATGAAGTCCAAAACGCATTGCCTTTCTGAATGTTATGTTACTGCCACTTATGTTTGTCTTTTGCTCACTTTTGTTGATTTGAGGCTTTAAAAAACACTTTATGAAAGCCAAGAGCTTCCAGTTGTCTGTGCATTGTTTCTTCCTGGGCCTTTTTGAAAGCACTTGTGTTTCACGTATACAACACGTAGAGAATATTCACAGAGCATCCTTCATCTTTCACCTCAAATTAACCATGCCATCACATGAGGACATACAAGTCCCTTTGCGCAGAATACAAGCCATGTTGTCAACCATGCATTAGTATGTGGGTGGCATGTGCTCTGTGAGGCAGTCATATGTTTACAGTGAATCTCTTGGATGAAAGTCAAGTTTGCAGCTGCAGCCACAAAATAATTCATCGTTCGCCTTTTTACCCGGGAGGAGCCACAGGTAGTTGATGAAGTGGCAGTGCCAAGACTCCCAACTGGTGAAGACGAAGCGCAGCTGCCAGGAGTCAGCGCGGCCAGATGCCGCTGCTGATGTACCATGTGTTCCAAGCAGGGCAACAGTGTGTTTGTGTGTGAGCTGGGGTGGGAGGGGAGAGAAGGGAGCGCTTGCCAAGACATTCTCACATTGATGCCAACCTGACACATGCTTGGGTACTCCCCACGGTTTGTGTTACCATCTCAGCCTCTCTCTCAGATCTGTGGGGGGTCCCCTCTTTCCCTTTTCCTCAGATGCAGTCTTTTGCCAAGATGGGAGTTGGCGCCTGCTTGCGGCCGTCCAGCCCATCAGTGCCGAGATCCTTTCAGGTGGTCTTCGCTGAATGGTGTGTTGGCAACAGGCCATTGCAGCAGAATGCCAGCTTCTGCTAGATACTCTGTCTAATCATGTTGTCGCCATAACCGTAACTTTAACGCCTCATGTCTTGTCCTCTCACCTCTGACAAACAGACTTATACATGATGCCCTTTATTTTCCTCCACTCTTCCTCCATCTCTCTATGTTTCCAGTAGCTGTAAAATAGGCTCACAATGGCTCAGATTCCAGTCCCCATGTATCGCATGTCAAAAATATGGCCAACTTCCAGGAAGCAAATCCAAAAACATGGGTCGTCTGTGCCTTATTTCGTTTCATCGGAGTCGCATTCGGTCATTTTTCGGTTGAATCCTTAGAAAAAGCAGCAGTGCCATCTGCATAAAAAAAGACGAAAGACTGTTGAAATGCCCTACAAATGAAGGATTTTCTGGAAATTACATAGCTGCTGGGGTAGCATAGCATTCCTTTTGAATAGCGTTTTCCCCACGAATGGGAACGAGTGGTCTTTGACGATACTATTCCTGAGAGTGGAGGGGAGTTCTCTGAAACAAAGGCTCCAATTTCGTTAGGAACATGCCATCCTTGTTTGCAGTGTAGGGGGTTTGGGGAGGGAAGTGAAAACTTTTTGAACGTGTGCCATGTCTGTACCATTCTCTTATCTGAGGCCCGTGACTGCCAGCTGGCGGCTGAATGTGCCCACTTGCACCGTGAAGATGAAGTCAGCCAAGCTAGTTGGCACACTGAGTGGTAGGACTGGCATGTGATCTAAAGCCAAACACAGCTCTGTGTGGGGTAGCTACATATATGCTGCACTCTCCCTTCTCCCGTCCTCGTCTCTGGTGAATGGCCTCTCTACTGGATCTGCAGGTCTTCAAAAATGGGGGCGGATCTAGACAACCAGGCTGAGTTAAGAACCACAAGATGTCAGACAACAACACAAGTCATCTTTGTAGCTCTATAATCAATGATACAATGATTTGAAACTAGCTGTCTGTGAGCCTTTCACTACATGAAATGATTTAAATGCATATACTATGAGATTATGATTTAATATCTGCAGAGAACTAATACATTGTAGGCTTACTGCTCTTAGACTGAATTCATTTTCTCTTTTCAGATCAATTTCAACCTTTATCTCTTGATATGTTTAAGTTTGAATGTTAAAAATTATCTGATGTAGTACTTTGTACTTGCAGGTATTCAAAAAGGAAGTATAGAGCCACTTAAGTAATAAAACAATTTTACTGGTCTATTAAAAACTCCTATTTTTGAAGTCTCAGTCGCCACACTGGGTGTGTAGTGTGTACTTACGATGTAGGAACCATTCAAGCGACGTGTGTTTCATGTCGGAAGACTAATTCAGTTGCACCGTCCTCCACTACAAGATGTACCGGGCTTTTATTTTAGGTAAGGTGAAAAGGAATTAAAGGAGATATGTATAAAGCGGAACACGTGTATTTCTTAAGAAGCATTCATATATTATTCGCTGTAGAAAGGAGATTTTTTTTTGTCCGTATTTTGGATAAAGTCGGTCGGTGTCCGTCTTCAGTTTGCCAGTTACCTTAGTTAGATAATGTCAAATGTCAGTCACAATCAGCATTAACACTACATGTTACTTAATTAATAACAAAAAATAAAACCCACGAGTCCGTGTTTTAACTTCGCTTCTTGTTGAAATAAATATGTTTATTGTGAAGCTAACAACTGTAGATGGTAGCTTGTTTTGTCAGTCCAAAAACTCCAAGTTGTTGATAATAAAAAGGGTTTTACGCATGAGGTGCAGTTACATTATCACAGATGGTATTATGATAATAGTCCACTGTGAGACAGTTGTATGATGTCCTCTGTGGGTCTGAAGGGAGCTCTCCAAAGTCTGGAAATCTAATCCTCTGGAGGTGTGATGTGTAATTATAAGTTATTAGTTATATTATGTAAAATGTAGCATCCAGTATTAGTGGGATTGAGCCTTCTTTTAAACTAAAAGGATATTTCCAATAGAGCACTTCTTTTTATTTTACTATGAAGAAATAATTACATTTTTTGTCTATCTGCCCCCTTTTACTGCTTATTAAAAATCATAGGAGAAATGGCACATTCAGGCTGCGTGCAGTGAGTTTGTGTTAAGTAGTGCCATGCTAGTTGAATGAAAGTGAAGGCGAAGTGATAGCAACTTGGTCGAACTGAATATTACAGAAGGAAGTCAGGAGGATAATAAGTTTTAAACTGTATATCTTTAGAAGATGTCAAACTTTGTGTGCTGCTTCATAAAACCCAAGCCCACATCCACTTTTTTCCCCCAACTCACAGATATGGTCTGATATGAGTGGATGCCGCACACTGAGGATGGCCTTCTTTTAGGTTCTAACTCTGGAGGGTCTGAAGTCTCAAACATGCTGTCAGGACTTGTTGCCGCTGCTGCCTGCCACTCTCTGAAGTGGACATTGCCTCACTGCAAAGCCACTCTTCACAGAACTTATTGCTCAACAAAGCCAAGGCAATGGCTACTGGGAACGGTGGTTCAAAGACAGGCTCATAGATGGACTACAGCACAGTCATCAAGGATAAACCGGGGTCCTGTGTTTGCCAGGGCTCCAGCATTTGGAGATAGACTCGCTATCATAGATAGCAGTGGTAGCCACAGCTACAAGCAGCTGTACAGCAGCAGCTTAGGTCTTGCAGGTAGAATCACTACCACTCTCAACTCCGACTTTGGGGGTCTGGAAGGCAAACGAATCTCCTTCCTGTGTGCTAATGATGCCTCCTATACAGTGGCACAGTGGGCATCTTGGATGAGTGGTGGGACGGCCGTGCCACTCTACCGAAAACACCCTGAATCTGAACTGGAGTACATCATCTGTGACTCCCAGAGTTCACTGCTGGTGGCAGGGCATCCCTACGCTAAAACCCTCGAACCACTGGCGCAGAGACTCGGGCTGCCATGCCTGACACTGCCCCCTACATCTGACCTGTGCACCTTAGCTGGGGCAGACTCCCAAGAAAAGGAGACAGCCATTGCAGACTGGGCTGATCGACCAGCGATGATTATCTACACCAGTGGTACCACGGGGAGACCCAAGGGAGTTCTGCATACGCACAGAAGCATCCAAGCCATGGTAAATGTTGTCTTTTAAACTATAATGACATTAGAGACAAAGCCAATTACATTTCATCTTGAGTTTGATTCAAAGCTTTGACATAGCAGAGGAGGTTACAGCTGGTGCTAATGTATTACAAAGCTGCTGCTGAGCAGGGAGGGTTACCCTTTTGTATTGTGTAGTGAATACGTTGACCGATAAGTAGGAACAGTATCTTGGTCACACAAAAATGATAAATGATCAACATCAAAATGTGATGTATTAATCTTTATGTAAAAGATTAATGTCAGCTAAGGTACTGGATATTTGAAACTCAAAAATGCTGTATCCGTTGGGGTATAATTGATGATATTGATATTTAGTATGATTGTGATTTGTGTTGAGACTGTTTGGTATGTTTTTAGTCTACCCTCCGGCCTTTTATATAATTTCCTTACCCATCCGCTGTCTGTGTGTTCTATCAAGATATTCTCAAAATAGAAGAGATTTGTTTGCTACTGGAAAGTGACTGTCCATAACACATTAGTCAAAATGGCACATCTTCAGAATATTTGGGGGAGGGGGCTTTAAACGCCTCTTTGTTGGTGTGTTCAGGCGCATAGAGGAAGCTCTGACTTTCCATACAAGAAAATTATAAATTTATAGTGCCTTTTTCCCTGTTGTCCCTGTTTGTCCAGTGAGTTTGATGTTCATGACTGCTATTCTTTTTCAAAACGGTCCCTCGTCATTAGTACCTTATAGAAATAAAAGGAAAACATTACAAGTCAGGTACAGTGGTAAGACAATAAATATCATTATTTGGAATATTTGGTAAATGACTACTGTCAGATATAAAATGCACACAGGTTTTGTTTTTGTTTGTTGCCATGAAACACAAAGTAGTATTACATAGAATATATGCTTTTATGGGTTTAATTGACTTGGGCTTTCTTAAATAATTAATAGTCAACTTAAATATTCAAGTCAAGGTTATTTATATTGTTTATTTTAGTCTTTCTACAGGATATCATGCAGTGCAGGCAGAGATTATGAAGTGACTATCCGGAGCTCCACAAAACTAACAAATATAGACACACAAAATGTATTCATGGTTTGAGTGTTTAGACACCCCCGTACTCATATTTGACTCCCTGATTAGCATCATTCCTCTTTTGTTCCAGTCAAGCTTTCTGAATAATCACTAATTTATGCCATTAAAGATCTCCTGAAGATTTTCCTGTATATTTTCTAAGCGAAATTGACCTACATGTCCAATAGTGTGGAAAATTAAATCACCCTGAAAGACGGCAGAGCTTCATTTGTCTGTGGCTGGCTCAGGGAAGTGAGTGAGTGAGTGAGTGAGTGAATGATTAAGTGAGTCTGTCTGTTTTCCTGGAAGCCAACAACATCAAGTTGTCAGAATTCCTGGAAAGCTCCTCTGTCAGGTTAATGTGAATGAAGACTTGAGACCAACTGGAAAGGAAAATAAATTAAAACTTGGATTTAAGATGACCATCTGATCCCCATTTTATATATCTTTGATAATGTGTATAAGTACACTGAATGCTACAGTGAACAGGACACAATTACCAGAACACCTGGGCAACTCAGTAGAACTCTGTCGAACCAATAATCTTTTCGTTAACCAAAGTTAAATAATAACAGCTTCATAAAGATAGTAAGATAAGATATGCCTTTATTAGTCCCACAAAGGGGAAATTTCAAATTTCAAGTGGGTCTTACAAATGACAATATAATTTCGGTGTTCTTCTATAACTGGTCATTCAAGGCCAAAAACATAAAATTGTTTAAACAGACACAATTCCCCTGTATACTGTTGAAGTTCAATTCCCATGCCCTCCATAATCACCTAATCTAATTTTGGCGACTAAAAGAACCTTAATGATGAATCAGTGAAGTTTTTCCTTGTTTGAATCTAAGGACAGGGGTGTCGTACAGGATAAATGTGTGATTTTAAGCTATACAAATAAAATTGACTTGACTGAAGATGTTAATTTCCTTAATTCTTGAAATAACTGGAGGTTTAATTTCTATTTAGAATTCAGGATTACATAATAACTGTCTTCTTAAATTAAAAGATGCTATTATCAAACAGTTTGTGGTGATGCATGCTGCATTTCTGGGCCTATTGTATCTGTTTCATAATAGTTATAATGATAGCAGCAATCTACTTTTCAAAACATGAAGGATTAACATCAGATTCTAGTGTTCTTTTTTTATACTAAATATTATTAATACTAGTTTGCACATCGCACAGGGAGAAATTAATTGTTGAAGAGACATATACAGATTTCTCCCCCAACAGGATCCTCAGTAGACCAGTTAGATTATAATAACTTTAAGTTATTATTTTGCTCTCCAACAGCAACCAAATTCAGTGTTCACAGGGGGCAGAAGTCATTCTTCCAAAAGCAGAAAATTGCTAATTGAGGTGTGAATACAGCAAGTTGGCAGGAAACCAAAAGTAAACTGCATCACAACACCACAAAATATTGTAAATAATAACAGTGAAAGCTGATTGAGGTGGTTTATTGTAAAGACAGTATGATGTGCTGACCTCCTCTCTTTCCTCCCGTCTCCCCCATCACCCCATAGATCCAGTGTCTGGTTTCAGAGTGGGCGTGGTCCAGAGATGACGTCATCCTCCACACCTTGCCTCTCCACCACGTGCATGGCATCATTAACAAGCTGCTGTGCCCGCTCTGGGTGGGCGCCACCTGCATCATGCTTCCTGACTTCGACCCTCAGAAGGTCTGGACTGCACTCTGTCTCTGTATCTTTTTTGTTTGAACTCTTTATCTTGGTACAGTATACCTTACATTAACTCCACTGAACAAAAGAGGCAGCTGTAAGGCTCAGGAGGTGACTATGAGAACGAAGCTGTCATTGACATTGAGGCTAAGAAGTATTTAATTTTTAGAAATCCTGTATGGATAAGGTGCTGCTGCTTGGTTGAAAAAGACCCTCAACTCTTTCTACATAAATCCTTCTTCCTTTATTAGTGCTTCCCTTTGCCCTTCCACGTTTCTTCTCCTTCCTTTCTCCTCGCTTCATCTCCTCTCCCTCTCTCCTATCAGTCTCTCCTCCTACTCCTCCTCCTCCCTCTCTGACTGTCAAACTAAGTGTTTGGGGCTCAGTGATGAATTGCCCTGTGTGGCTTTGTATCTGACCAATGCCGACTCACGGCTGGGGCTTAAGCAGCGGATCAATCGATGAGCTGACATTGAAGGATGATAGTGCTTGTTTGGCCCTAGGAAGGGAGGGGAAGATGGGGTGCTAAGTGTGTGTGTGTGTGTGTGTGTAGGTGTGGCTTTGGAACATTTAGGAGTGTAAATGTTCGTGTTTTCCAATGTGTGTTTCTGTCTGTATGTCAGGACCTCCACAGCTCACTGGCAGTGAAGGTAGATGGAAAGGAAAGGTCTTTAAAGGACATATGTATCTGTCAACATGGGTATTGCTACTCTCTTATGGATATCAGTATTCTGCTGTTATCCCTGACCTTGTGCACCAAACCGCAAAACCCCTCCTCTCACCCTTAGAAAAAAGCCTTTATTCTCCTCCTCCTGAAGTTACAGTACATTGATGAAGTGATCGATAGTCTGTCTCTTCTATCCCCTAAGATCTCTGAAGGGGAGCCTAGGAAGCAGAGGCCGCCATTGATTTTTTCTGATTTCGCCTAGAGATAGTGACAAAAATTTTCAGTGTAGGAATAGTGATCCAGTAAATTGCAGATAAGTCTATTTCGAGTGTCCTGTTGCAGACTGACGGGGGCAGATACTCTTCCTCGGGTTCACACAGCACTTAAAAATGTTTTGTGTTTTTTGAATTCCCATGGACTACTTCATCACAGCACATTAATAATTGTATTAATATGAGGAAATTATTCATTAACACATTAAAACCATTTTTGAGATATTGATTCAGGACCAAGGGTAATAAATCACTTCAGTCATTTCATTGTGTTCTATTAGGTAAAGGCATTTTATTAAGTAGCCAGATTAATGGAGGTGCCACAGATGCATACAGTAGTTTGATCAGTCTGTCCACCACTTTGGTCCAGACAGAAATATCTCAGCAATTATTAACATTTCCATGGAATTTTGTACATAACTTCATGGTCCCCAGGGGATAAGGCATACTGCATGCCACCAGCAGGTCAAAGTTTTAATTTATCTTATGAAATATCTTAACGTCTAATAATGTAGTATATGCAGACATTTGTGCTCCCCAGATTTTTCCTTTACCGCCACCATGAGGAGTTTTTGAGTAAAATATCCCAACAATTATTATTGAATTATTGGAAGGATTGTCATTGACATTTAGATGCAGACATTCATGTTTCCCTCAGAATTAATTGTAATCGCCCTTGACTTTTCATCTAACACCATCGTCAATTATTTGGTTTATGACTAAATACTAGCAAAATGAATGACATTCCCAAGTTTCTAAATGAAGATGGTGAAAGTGGTAAATATTACACTTGCTAAACATCAGCATATTAGCGTTATGAGCTTTTTAGTATGCTCACATTTATTTAGTTCAAAGCAACGCTGTGCCAAAGTGCAGCATCACAGCACCTCTAGCATGGCTGTAGACTCTTATTTTGATAGTAGTGCCAGTTGACCTTACCATACATACCATACCATTTCAGTACCAAGACCAAAACTGTGGTTTACTTTGATACCTTTCCTTGAGTAATGTTTTCAGTATTAGTAATTTTTTTTTTAACACTGTACAGAAACTTTCCTAAATAAAACACAGTCTAAATCTGACCAAGCATCAGTGGCAACTTTTGATACCAGGGCGTTTTCGATACTCAGCACTATGGGAACATTGATGTTCAACATCCAGTCCTCTTCAGGAAGAATTGGCAATATTGTGTTGAAGTCCCATGTCGAATGCAGGGCTGAGGAGCTCATTGAGTCGTTTAGGATGCAGGCCATGGCTCTGGGTTCTCACCACATCCTGTCCCCTAGGTGGAGGCCAGCTCTTTGACGGACATAAATTGCCTTCCTCTCTCCTCCAGACTGGACTTGGTGGAAGCGCTCCACTGCGCTTGATAGACAACATCCAGAACAGTCAGGGCACACTCGGTTAATAATCTGTCTCTGCACAAAAGTTTCATTCTATACAGGTGAACTGTGAACACCCACAATTTTTCAACTTGTAATTATATTGTGAGAAACGGGACAGGGATCTGATCAGACTGTTGACAAAGGTGAATCACCTCAGCTCTATTTTTCTATATATTTCAGTTATGTTTGTTTATTAAAGGCAGAGGAGTTGAGAGGCAGGGAAGTTAGTAGATAATAGATTAGTTGAGTCTATGACAAGGTGACTCGAAGGAGAAGTGGAAGGAAGAGTTTAGAATTTGTTGGCACATTAAGAATGATGTGGTGGTACTACAGGTTAGAGATGATGGGAAAGACTGCATCTTTCTGTGTGTGAATATGCGTCTAGGTCTATGTCAGAGAGAGAGAGACTGCAGAGGCAGCGAAGCAGGAAATTACAAAATGGAGAGAAGGTAAGTGAATGTGAGATAGGGAGTGAAGGGGAGAGGGGAGAAAGAAAGATGAAGGGAAAAATGTGGGATCAGAGATGAAAGTAGAGAATGAAAAAGAAGCACTTTGGGAATGGAGGTAGAATGAAAGAAGAAGAAGAAGAAGGAGGATAAGTAGACAAAAGGGGAGGGGAGACAGCTGGGGAGGAGCGTTTGTCTCCCAAGGGGGAGACGAGACCTAGAGAAGCTGTCGTTCACCTTCACTTAATTCATGCTGTCGTCCCATCCTCCCATCGTCTACTGCGATGTACCCAGACTCTGTGTGTGTGTGTGTGTGTGCTGGCCGTGTGTGGTGTGGTGTGTCGCGCGTGTAGTGCTCGTGGTGGTGGTGGAGGAAGTTGCAGGTGGACGTTGGGAGGACGGGTGGGGGTATGTAAACACTTTGCTTGTCCTATGAACACCAGTAGTTATATGTGATATATTGACACAGTATATTATTTATATGTGACATTTTTGGTTCACACGATATAATGTTAATATGATCCATTATACAACAGCCCTAGTGTTTGGGTTATATAAAGGCGGCATTCTTTAATGCTTGATGCAACAGAGGACATGAGTGGCTCCTTCTGTAACAGTCAAAAAGCACATTTGTCAAAAGTATCCGTACAGAAGGCCTCTTAACTGGCCAGCGTGCCAGCTCTGCCCTACAGCAGTCTGCTGTTTTCCTCCCCCTGACCTTTAAAATCTTGAAGTTTTTTCTTGTCTTTTTTTGGAGTTGTGTTGACAGGTTTAATGTAAGGCTGCTGTCCGGACCTTAGTCTGCCATTTACATCAAATAAAAGAAAAAATGTCACATGCACTTGCACTAATGGAATGAATCTACACTACTTTCCTTTTTCGCCTTTCCTTATCTCCCTCTCCCTTCTACCCTCTTCAGTTATATGTTGTGCTTATCTCTCTTGTCTCTTTCTCTCTGTTTCTGTGTCCCAGGTGTGGGAGATGCTGCTGAGTTCCAAGGCTCCCCTGGTTAACGTGTTCATGGCCGTGCCAACTATCTACTCTAAGCTGATCCAGTACTATGATCAGCACTTGTCACAGCCTCATGTCATGGACTTTGTCAAAGCGGCCTGCAAAGAGAGGATCAGGTAGTGGCTGTTGGATCAGTGACAGAGAACTTACTCATGGCTCTATGTATCTGTGGGTGTGGGTGTGTGTGTGTACAGACTGGTGACATATTAAAGGAAAATAGTGTGATTAAACACCTTTGGGAAATTATGGGCCAAATTGTCTGACAGAGCTCTCCACCACCATCATTAAAACACTGAATAAAGGAATATATTTGGGAATAATGGTGTTCATCCCTCTAGCAGCAATGAAGCTGGTCCACATGCTCGTTTTGCCAACACCTTACAAGGACACTGTTAGGGCAATGTTGGTTTCTCCTTTTTGATTTGTCTGTACGTGTGCATACATATCAGAATAAGAATTAACTATTTTAGTTTTCAGGGGGCATCAGTGTTATGTGTAGTATCTGCAGTTTTCTAATTTGTTTACTGTGTGGTGCCAATATGTTCTGCTACTTCAAGGTTTTTCATTAAAATGTGCAGAAATGTTCTAGTTGGAACACTGTGGACAAATACTCATTGACTCACACAAATCACCCACAACACATATATTTTGAGCCTGGAGTGTCTTGCTCATGTACGTCCCTCTCCCTCCAGGCTGATGGTTTCGGGCTCGGCTGCTCTCCCTCTTCCCACTCTGCAGCGCTGGCATGAGATTACAGGACACACACTGCTGGAACGCTATGGCATGACCGAGATTGGCATGGCACTGTCCAACCGTCTCAAGGGCCCATACATCCCAGGTATGTAAGTTTGTCTGACTGGATACACTTATACACCCACCCACAGACACACTTTAATTTAACACAGTATGCAGAAACACTATAGAGGGAAAAAGCAAGATAAAATTTAACTAAGGTCACACTGAGACCAGCTATTGTTATGTGTTTCAGAGTTGTTTATTCTAACTCTGGTGGATAACAGTAATGTCATGCGACTTCAGGTCTCAAAACACTAACAGCTGAAAGTGAAGGTCTTGGTCCTCTTCCAAGAAAACTGTGGTGAGGTTACAAGCCAACTGCTGGATCAACGGCAGGAAATGAAGCTAGAAGAAACCGTTTTTAGGGACAGGTTTGACATATAATCAGCAGTTACAGTACTCAAGCTGGCGGTGATATTTCCACATGTGCTCCCAAATGTTATAAAGGTAAATTACAGTAAAGAATGCAGGTATAGTGCAAGTCCATTACAGTCACCCTCTCTGATGGATGAAGGCAATCTATGGATTCAAATTGCTAATCTGAAATTTTTTATCAAAGGTTTCCAGCAAAAGAAATAACCTCCATGTCCCCTCTTTTGTCTGTTGTTGCTGTGTAAAAATTAAGCCCTACATGTAGCTGGCATTAGTTTTCAGCTAGCTTATGGTTCCCAATAAGCAAACTTGCAATCAATGATTTCTTCCACTACAATCACATTAAATATATATATTTTTTATTATTATTATTTTTCAGGGGTTTTAAACAGAGCTTGAGGCTTTCATGGAGATTAATTAAAATGAAAATGACTTAATCGAGCAGAAGATTTGGGATTTTTGCTTTTCCGTTCTTTTCCTAAGTTGAAGTGTATTGTGGAGCGGCTGATAATAGCACATCCCATTAAGTGTGGTTTTGCAGATTTGTTGGTGAAATCTGCTAGGAAAAATCTTGGGCAAAATTTGATTTAAACCTTCTAGACATCTAGATCTTAGACATAACGTAATTCAACATAATTTTGATGACTATATTTCATATACATATATATATATTCACATATTTCTCAGCAGAAGGTGAACAGAATTAACCACTTTTGTACACAAAGCACATAAAGTCCACTCGTTTACCTCCACTACAGCATTATTGCCCAGGTTTACAAATGAGATTCCACTGCAGTAATAACAGCTTGTTAAATTCAGCCAACTTTCCTGGATTAAACCTAAACTGTCGGTGCGAACACACACTCAGTAACTTTCCTATTCTTTATCACATATCTTGCAAATATCCCTGTTATTGTTCTACCTCCCTCACCAGTTTGATTCAGTACTTCGGCTTCACGTGTTGTGTTTTGATCATAGACACTTTTCTCTGGTGTGATGTCAGATAAAACCCCATGATCCCAACTACACCACCCTCACACATGCAGAGACAAAGGCGAGGTCTGGAAATGAGGTCAGACTAGTGGTGGTTGCTTTCTTCTCCTGTCCTCCCCCCTTCCTCTTACTCCCCACCTTCTCCTTCCTGTTCCCCAGCCAACTCTTCCTCTTTACAGGTAACGCTAATTAGCTTGCAAGTGGATTGAGTAATCCTCTGTCTGGCTGTTTTGTCGGGGTATTGTTTTGTTTGTTTGTCAGGTAATGTTAGGCATAAACTGAGCAGGCTGTGTTTGATTCCTCTCAAGTGATTATTAAGAATGGCTTCAAGAGGTCTGTGGTTCTATTGATGTTTCCATTGCAGCACAGAGTCTTGTGTGTGTGTGTGTGTGTGTAGGTGTAGGTGTAAGTGTACGGAGGCATGAGCTTTTGCCTGTTTGAGTCAGTGTGTTCCTGTCTTGTCTTTAAGTAGGTTAAAATGGATCAATAGGAACCATAGGAAACACTCTAGGAAGAGTAGTGGAGTCACCCCCTCTCTCCATCTCTTGTACACACTTACTTTCTTTTCTTTCTATCCTCCATCAACTAAGCAGCAGACAGCTCAGCTCTTAATTCACTTATTGACATCAATTTTATTAATAATTTTCTACTCTATTCAGGGCATCTAATTGGCCTGATTTTGTTGTGTAGCTTACAGTTTTGGAGCATTCCAGATTAACAGCAGTGTGGCTTTCTAGGTCATATTGCCCTTGTTGAGATGTAAATATGTGAGATTAGTTCAACCTAGTTCTTTCCATCTTATTATTATTTTACGCTGCTGCCCATTTCATCTTTTTATTCTTCTTCCTCCTACTTTTTAGCCTCTTTTTCTGTTTTTTTGCTGACCTAGAGAACAGAGACAGCGTCCCACCTTCCTGCAATTAGTCTTCCTCCTGATGTCATTTGAAGCCCAAAATTATAATGTCTTTCATGAACTTCTTGCAGGAATCACTGTAAAACAGTCCTGTGTAGACCTTTGTCATTCCCTCTCCTCTCCACACAGACCTTTTCCCACCCAGCATTTATAGTCTGCCTGTACTCTTCAAAATGGCACTCAATCTTGTTGAATCATCGAAACCAGAATGCCACCAGTCTCCAAGATTTCTAAAGCTCCTGATGTGAGAGGAAAAAAAATGATGATAGAAGAGGGCGTAAAAGGGAAGAGAGATTCCCCGAATTGGATTTTGGAGACATTGTCATTGAGGGAGAGGAGTCTGTTTTTGTCATTTTGTAGATGGCGTTTTTTTGCTTGACAGAAGAACTGAAGGAAGATTACTGGTTCTACACTTCTTCACCCTAATCGGTGGAAGGAGGACAAGAGGTTGACCTTTTTTGTTTGGGTGTGTAATCTCTTATCTACCAGGTTTGTTCTAAAGTATAATTCCCTTTTTTAGACCTTGAGTGTAGTTTTTTCTAGGATTCTAATCTCTAATCACCATGTTGATTCTGAGATCTGGGAATGTGGCGACTTCAGTAATGGTCACACTCAAACATGATGTGAAAAGCTGGCCTGTCACAAAGGGGGGGGGGGGCACACGATATAGTTGAAATATGGAGATAACAGTGGCCATTTTTAGACAGTCTTGACACATAGTGTTGCACTTGGTTGTTCACATGAAAAGTGACAGACCTCCGCACAGCTGGCCAATCACAGCGCACAGTGGGTGTGAATGTCAGATTGTCGGTTTCAGAACGTTACAGAAATGGTCGTAAGTGTCTGAAAAATGTGTGTGTGTGTGTGTGGAGGCGCTAGTTGACCTTAGTACAAGCACTTATCCCTGCTAGAGTGTCCATGAGCAAGACATTGAATGTCCTCCAGCTGTAATTGATCCTGATCCACTATACTGCGACTCCAATGAAAATAAGACACCAGAGTCACATTCTGCTTTAGGTCTCAATTATCCTTTTTCACACTGCCCACAGCAGCTCATAATGGAGTGATCATTATAACATGGCTAGATTCGTCTAACCTCCTGACTTGAGTTAGTTTGTTATCCTGCTTGTCCACTGACAAACACTTTTGCGGTCAGTTGGTTTTCCCTGCTGGACTGAGTGCAAGTGATGGAGGGTGTGTGATAGACATTGCCAATCAGGACTGGAGTGGATTAGATCAATATGAAGTGAGAGAATCACTCTTTAATCAGGACCTGACCTGCTCTTTATTGGGAGAGCAGTGGTCTGTGAAATGGCATAATAGCCTTTGGGCAGGCACACGCGCACGCATGCACACGCACAGTAAAGGCCACTGAGACCTTCTCCGTGCATCCCCTGTGCACTCTTTGCTATAATTACTTAACTCTGGAGGTCACACTTGCACGCACACACAAAGACTGCAGGTGATGTAAGTACGTGTGGGAATTTTCTATTTGTAACACATTTTCTTACAGCTTTCTTATATAATTGTTTCACTTAAACATCACTGCAGTTATGAACAATCTGAGAATGAATTTCTGACAGTTCTTATTGTATTTCATAATTTGTCAGCTCACTTACAACATTTTATGTCACTGTGCTGTAATAAAAAGCCTTGTCAAGCAGTCAGCAGTAGTTAGGACTGAAGGACTGAATTCAGGAACAACAGAAAACTGTTGCAAAAATAGAGACTGTGGATCATTGTAGATATGCATGGGGTATTATTATTTTTGTGTGTAAGGAATTGTGGGTTGACTTATTGCCATGGATGCTGCAGTTCAGGTCCTTTTGAGAAGACTCTGTCAATACATCAGTGCCCTGGAGTGTATTCTGGGCCTGGTATCTGTTCTTAAAAGTCTAAGACAAATGTCCAAAAAACAGTTGATGAACACTTGATGTTGGAGAAAAAAGCTGCATCAGGCATTGCCCCAGAAATCCCCATTACTGTCCAAGTAAGCTGACTGGTGACTAAGATGAATGGCTTTCAGTTTAGTGTTTTATAAGCTCAGCAAACCATTTAGTGACCAGTTAATGCCATCTTGGAAGAGAGCAACCTCCACTGTGGTAGAAATCCTGCACTAAAGGTTGATGACAACCACTCCACTGGTCATTGCCCATATACGTGTTCAACTTCTTTAAAAGGGACAAAAATATTTCCATCTTGCTTTCAATTGACTATATTCCCTTTCTACTCTGTACCTGTGTGTTTTGAGTGTGTTTCTGCTTGATTTGTTGACAGGCGCTGTGGGGTTGCCCCTTCCTGCTGTGCAAGTTCGGATTGTCATGAATGACACGAACATCATACTTGCGGAGGGCAATCACAGAGACACTCAGGTAATCAATGAATTAATAATTTATAAGCCCATTTTTCTACATAGTGGATGAAAAATCACAGAAATCAGCCAAGAAGTAGTTTAACTGATTTTGAATTTTAAACCCCAAAACTCTACTGTATAAGCCATGATACAGATAATGACTGCATATTTTCCATAAATAAATATAACAGATTTTAACTCTTACAGATCTCTCATAGATCTGCATGCAAGTTAGATTGTTGTCTTGCTGCTGTTGGCTAGTACATCCCTCAGCATGAAGTGGGCATTAAGTGCATAGTCATTGCATTACTCTCTGTGTGAATATATATCACAGGTACTTCCAGGTATGGGGGGGAAAGAAGGGGAGCTCCAAGTTCGAGGGCCGTCTGTCTTTAAGGAGTACTGGAACAAACCTCAAGAGACCAGAGAGTCTTTCACTGATGACGGCTGGTTCAAAACAGGTACCAAATCTTCCTCGTCCTCCACCTCCCTTTTCTCTTAACACACACTTCAGCACTGTACATGCACGCACACATTCACACACATTCCCTCAGAGGGAGTGAATTGTGCCACTAATTGCATCTACATGAGTTGTACTTTCAGAGGGATTCAGTTTTTTTATCTCTGCTGCAGACTGCACTTTCAGAGCTTGATTTTAAACACTTAAAAACCAGGATTCCAGTCCAGGAAACACACACACACACACACTCACAAACTGAGTATGTGTGTACTGTATGTGTGTATGCACTTTTTGGGGGACTATGAGGGAGTGATAAATGGACTATGTGTGTTTTTGGTGCTGCAGGGCATTTTTCCTCCTAAGTGGTTGTGACTGCTCTGGGTCTTGAGAAACCAAGTATTGCTCTCTCGCTCTTTCTCTCCCTCTCTCTGTTTCTTTAGTGTGTGTGTGGCAGCACACGGGGAAGCTGTCATCAGAGGCTCTCTCTCCCTGCAGCCCTGCAATTCTCTTTCTGCCCCCCCACACCCCAAGGAGCACTGCTTTACTGCAAAGCCACTGGGAGACAGGCGTTAGGGGGAAGTTTGGTGAAGCTGGGGGGTGCAGCAGGGAGGGCAGAAGCAATTGGAGCTTTTAATTGTCATGTAGACAACAGCAGATAAGAGCCAGAAGCAAAAGAGTGAAGAAAGAGCTGGAAGTATTGAGCTTTGAGATGTGGTGGTGGATGGGTTAGAAAGAGTTACCTACAAAGGGTGGCATGTAAGGCTGGGATGGGGAGCTGGTGGTGGTGGTGGAGGAGGGTGAGGGGGAGGGTGAGGGTGAGGGTGAGGGTGGGGGTGGGGGTGGGTGCATGAAAAGAAAGCCAAGGATGAGGCGAAGTGATGGAGAGCGAAGCAGGGCAAGGCAGTGGGAGAGCAGGCGAGTGCTGTTTAATTGGCTTTGCCAGGCTGAAGGACAGAGATCCAGAGCACAGCAACGCTGCTGTACCTCCAATTACAGCCACTGGCCACATAATGCAGACCCGAAGCAATCAGCTCCCACAGACCGATCTCCAAGCCACACACACGACACACACACACACACACACACCACACCACACACAACACACACCACACACACCACACAACACCGTACGACCAGGAAAGCTGAACACAGTCTTTGCCCAACCAGTCTACCCTGCTTTGATGCCAACTTAAACACAATCACACACATACACGCACACACGACACACACCACACACACACAACGCCGGGCAGAGTGTGTGAAGTGGTGGAGTTTTGTTTTTTTCAGAAGAACCAGAAGTTCTGTTTATTTTTTGGCTCCGACACATGTTAGCTCAACTCTAGGAGTGAATCGATGAACATTCTCGATATCCAGTTCTTTGATTTAAAACTAAACTTTATATACGACGGGTAACTATACCAGATTTTTAAATCAAAGTCTGTTTTACAGGTCTTGGGGGATACTACTATATATGTGAACAAAGCCTGGAACTGCACAAAATCTGATAAATTGCCTCAGGCGATGTCACATGGGTCTTGGGTTGGTTGGGGCTGAAGACTAAAAATAAAAATAAAAATTTTAGCTTTGTACCAGAACAGGCAAGCTGTTTCTACCTATTTTCAATCTTTATGCTTAGCTAAGCTAATTGACTGCTGGCTCTAACTTCATAGCATACATATTTGAGTTGTATTAATCTTCTCAACTCTCAGCAAGGAATGAGCATAGTTCCAAAAATGTCAAATTTGATTTTTTATCAGTTTTCTTTTATATTCCCAGTCAATAAAAGATTAATTTGGCAACTGTGGTGCAGTGTTCTGTTCCCAGTTGTAATGATAAATTGTTTCCTACAGCTTGATTCATGTATCATGACTGGCTTCTTCTCCATAGCAATGGTACCAGAGAAACAGACAAAAAGAGTTTTAATCATTTAAACTGATAAAAAAAAATATATACACATAATGAGACATATACAGCTGATTCATAGATAGGCGCATGCTCATGTGGACAGTAAACTCCCACAGAAGTTACTCTTGTCCACACAACATTCTGCCATGTCCACACAAACCCTCTTGGTGTGGCTGTCTGGGGGGGGTGGTGTTAGATGGAGACTGTCTGCACTTAACCCTCTCCTTAGCGTCCTACCTCTCCTCTTACACTCTTACCCTTTTTACCCTCACACCTGCTCCCTGTTTCACACTCTACCTTTCTTTCTGACACTCTGTCTCATCCTCACACTCCATCTCTGACTTGCTAACGCTTGTCTGATCTCTTGTCACCTTCCCACAGAGCTTTCTGTATCTCACTTTTTATACATCCTCCAGTATTTGACCTTCAGGTCAGGGAGGAAAAATGAAAGGTGTTCAGCACTAAACTTCTTTTCAGGGATCTGACTGAGGTGTAGATAATAATGCAGCAAAATATGCACAACATCTCATACATCCACTAACGTGACCACAGTGAAGTGTTTAAGGGACTTTCCTATTTCTATTCAGTCTGAGAGTTATTTCCCTGAGACATGGGGGATGAGAAAAAAATGATCTGGTGGCTTTTTAAAAATACTCTACAAAAAGTTACAGCAGAAGTAATGTACAATGTTTGTCAGGTTAATATATTTTATTTAAACGATTGTTAAAAACAGGGATGTTGATCAAGTCCCGAAATTACACACACTGCAGTTTGTCACCTCCAGAAATGCGTGAGTTTAAAATTGTGTTTAGATGAAGGAAGGGAAGAAAAGACAAAGACATTTGTATATATTGTGTTAGATAAGTGGTTAGCAAGTGGTTATCATAACAGTTGTAAAAATGTAAACTTATTGTTTCTGTCAGTTATAGCCTTCCCTCAGCTAAGACTTGTAATTAGAAGTCAAAAGGCGTAGGTTAAAATGTTGTTCTCTATCATTGTAATTATGCATGACACAACCCTACTGATGGCTTCACCTTTTAAAACCACGCAAGTTTGCATAAAAACAGATGGATGGAAATGTACTTACTGTTGCAGAAAGTCATGTTCCTGCCTTTTACCAAAAAGCTGCGTTTTATTAGATCAGCCAGCAGAACTACATTTGGCTGAAATGAAATCCATTGCAGTTGAAAAGGTCTTAAAAATCTTTGCACTGAGTGGCTGACACAGCGTGAAAGATGACAATCTGACAAAATAAAGAAAATAAAGAAAATAAAGCTAATAGGGGAGACTGACAGGCCAATAGGAAGAGGAGGCAAAGGAGAGATGATGAAAGAAAAGTAGAGGGTAAGAAGTGGAGAAAGGAGTGTGATAGTTTGGATCAATAAGTTCTCAGCTGGCAATAGGTGTCTTCTCTAGTGCGAGCGGGTGCTGTGTAGCATGACTGGCAGCTCTATAGGGAAGCTGTCACCTTCTCCTGAGTGCTCTCTCTTTCCACTCATCTTCACAAATATCTCTGAGCACATTGATCCCCTCTTGCCTTTTTTAACCCTCTTTTTCTGCTCGTTCTACACTCCGACTGCTGTCCAGAGCTACAATACGAGTTAAGCTCAAGTTGACAAGGGCTGCAAGGGCTTTCGTTGTTGGATTTCATGTGCAGATAAATAAATACAAGCAACAAAATATAGCCAGTCGGGGGGCAACCTAGGTGAGAAAAGAGCAACGAAAAAAGGACAAAAGGTGATGTAGTATATTTGGGTGTAGTTGGTGCCTATCAACCAAGAGAGCACATTCCTTATGGAATGGATTATGATGTTTTGAAATAAACCATAAATAAATGTATGAATACATAAATTAGTAAGGACTTGTGGGAAGAGACGGAAGCTTGAGCATTAGCAATTTTTCATATTTTGCATTTCGGCAATGAATAATGGAGGCTTGGTTGTAGCAGGCAGTGTACTGGAAGCTGTGTTTGGGGACTGACTATTAGCCCTGCCTTATCTGATGATTTTGACTCAGGGGCAGAAAAGTTAACAAAGGGGTTAAATCTTTGTCATTGTACCTCAGTTTCACACTTAATTATGCTACATCCTGTAAGAGCCAGAATTAGCAGTAAATGTGGAAAGTTGAAATTGTTTTGTATAGGCTAAATCTAAACCTAAATAAGTTTTTTAGAACGCACATGCCAGACTTATATTATAAGCAATATTGTATGATGCAGAGGCTGTGTGTGTGTGTGTGTGTGTGTGTGTGTGTGTGAGAGAGAGACTGAGTGACTGAGAGAGATGTAACCCCAGCTGTAAAGGTGAGCTTCAGGTCTGCAGGGTAAATTCTCTCCACCGAGAGACAGAAGTGTACTTCATATCCTGCAGAGCCATCACTAGTCATTTGTGCATCTCTCTTTTGCTCCCAGCTGCGTGCTCTCCTCTTCCCTGCCTTTATCCCTCTCTGTGTTTCCCAATGTCATATTTCACCTCAAGTCACATTGTGTCCTCCTAACTCCAATGTCAGAGCTCCCTGCGGGATCCACCACCAACACCCCACCCTCCCAGCACTTTGTTTCAAACCAGCCATGCCTGTAACATTTACAGCCAAGGTGTCAACGCACGGTGGTGCTGGTTTTATTAACACCAGTTGCAGGAAAATGCAGTTGAACACTGCTTCATGTGAGCCACTAAACTGCAGGAGTTTTTGGCAAACCTTTGAAGCATCTGCCACAAAATAGACGTGGGGGAAAAAAAACTTCTATTCAGCCTTTCATTCATTTGTTCTGGTCAAAAGTAAAACTAATCTGAGTCTGGTTTGCTCAGAGTTAGCACTTTATAATCGACTGCTGTCGACGTGTCTTTGTTCAGATTTGTGTGATTCAGTGCAAAGAAGGGGCATGTAAATTGCAGTTAAGTAGTTAGCTTGATGAACATGGCAGGTCTGAGACAGACATCAATCTTCAAGTTCAGCTTGTTATCTGCTGGTGGAGAGGCAACCCAGCAAGGAATATAATCAGTAACATTAACATAAAGCAATTCAAACTTCTTTAATTGCATTATATTAAACAAATTAGATCACTCATCCAAGTGCAAAGTGCTTTCTTGTACGATA